GTGTTTAATTAAAAAAAATCGGAGAGGCTAACTTTACTGCAGATAAAACAAATTATGCATATATATACATAATTATATCACTAAGTTTTCGACAGAATGATATCCGATAGAAGTTTGTAGTGCATCCAACAGTCTCAACTATTAGGTACAGGAAAAAGTTTATTCAATCTCAACATTCATTTAAAATGGCATTCAACTTGTTAGTCTCCTAAGTAATTTTCGGTGATAAATAAATTTTAAAAAGCAAACATTTACACAATATACATTGTAGATTAAGTTGAACAGAGTTATTCTTCTTTTTACATTCAGAATGCCTTGATACCTTTCTGTTCTCTAATGTGATGATTTTTCAATAAAGGGCCTTTATTTACATAATAAACTGAATAAACATAATACAATTGGATATAAATGTTTGAGATTTCATGCTTTATGCTTTTCCCAACATAATTATAAACTTCGAAGATCATAAAATTCTAATACATATTAACATTGCAGTTAGCTACTTTCGTGGGCATTTTCGTTGGTTATTTTCAGAATACAGGGGACTGGATTCCCTTAGCATACTGTGTCTGACTGTATTAATAAATCGATTCATTTAATTAACACTGGGACAATTTCAACAAAATAAAACAAAACATCATCGGGTTAAGGTGATAATTTTTTAGATGAATGGCCAAGTCCGCTTCTTCATGGAGACAAGCAAATTCAAAGAATTGTGGATGAGATGTCATTATTTATGGCATATTGTGTCAAATATGAACGTCCTATTATATCTCATTCAAAAGTTGTTACCAAATGTAAATATTTTGAAAATTATGTCAAACATAAAGATCACGGTCATGGGATAAAACTCATAGCATGCTCTGAATCATCATGTCACAGGTAATGCTCATGTCTATGGTTTTCTTCAATACATAATACAGGTACATCTGTGTCTCCACACTTAGTTTGATACACGCCAAATTCACAAAAATGAGCTAAACATAGTTTCACAGTCGATAAACTAGGTTTATCGGTTGTAAACTATAGTTTACGGACTGTAAACTATAGTTAACAACGTTAATCTATATTTTACATCTGTAAACCATAGTTAACGCGATAATCTATGTTTCACAACCGTAAACTATACTTAACACTGAAAACAATCATTTGCGAATGCAAAACATAGATTATCTGATAAATACAGTTTCACGATTTGTAAACTATAGTTTACAAATCGTTAACTATAGTTAACGATCTGATAAATATAGTTTCACGATTTGTGAAACTATGATTAACAACTCTTAACTATAGTTTACGATTGTAAACTATAGTTTACAAACGTGAATCTATGTTTATCAACAAAAACTATTGTTAACGCTTATTACAGACAGATAAACTTAGATTATCATTCGTAAACTATAGTTAACAACCGTTAAATATAGTTTTACAGATGAAAACTAGACTTAACGAATCGTTAACTATACTTAACGAATCGTTAACTATAGTTTTCGGTTTGTAAACTATAGTTTACAGTCGATAAACCTAGTTTATCAAGTGTGAAACTAGGTTTATCTCATTTTTGTGAATTTGGCGTGCCATACATGTCAAATATGGAAGCCCTTTCTCTTCTCAATCAAAAGTTATAAGGATAAATAACATTTTTGAAAAGTAGGTCAAACTCCATGATCAAGGCCACAGGGTCAAAAGTCATAGTATATTTAGAAATGTCTTGTCACGCAAGTAATATACACTGTACGTGAATAATATAATTACGTGTACATGTATGATATTAAATCCATATCTTTTCTCTTTCAAAAGGTCTGACTTTAGTAATTTAAAGTAATGTTAAAATTTTTGAAAAGTAATTTAAACTCCAAGGTCAAGGGGTAAAAAATCATAGAATATTTGGAAAGGTCTTGTCAAAGGTAATGTACATGTAAAATATGAGAACCCTATCTCTTCTTAATCATTTTTGTGACAGATGGACAGACTGACAGACGAATGAGATTTAATGTCCCCTCGCTTCCGCAAAAGTGGTGGACAATAAAAGACACAACAACAGCTGGCATTTTGTTTCATAATTGGATATTTTACTAGAAAAATATGTTAATTGCAATCTAACAACCGAACAATAAAACTTTATGATAAATGTGATGGCTTCAGCTATTTTTATCGTCAAACCCGATATCTTCTATTCAGGGCAGCCTCTTCGAGTGGCCATTGGATATTGGATATACACTGGCGGATTTAGAAGGGGTACAGCCCCCCCCCCTTTTGTGTCAAAATATAAATATAAATAAAATAAGATTTAATAAATAATTTTTTTTTGGTTTGGCTGTGGACCCCTTGCCCGACACCATACTGGAAATAAAATCTCATTTGTCTAACCCTTTTCACCTTTCCTGGATCCGCCACTGATATATGAACCCTTTATTTACAGCTAAGAGTTTTGATTCTCAGCACTGAAACCATAAATCAAACAACTTTTGATCTTAATCTACAATGAAAGTTATTACAACATATTTTTACATTAACGCCCATTACAGGGTAAAGTAATCCTACATTAAATGAAATAAAATATCATTCGTCCAAGCCTTTTTATGCCCCCGTAATCGAAGGGTTTTTGTCGTGTCCGTCCGTGTGTCTGTTTGTTTGTCCGCAAAAATTTTAACCTTGCCCATAACTTTTGATTTAGTGGAGCTATGACTTCCATATTTTAAATGTGTATTCCTTGTGACAAGTCCTTTCTTTGGGTACAACCAAATTTGACCTTTGACCTTGAAGTTTGACATACTAGTACCTTACACAAAATTCCAAACTTTTACTTTGGCCATAACTTTAAAACGGTAGATACTAGTTCTAGGACTTTCATATTTTTTCACATTTTCATTCTTTGTGACAAGATCTTACATTGGATACCAACAACTTTGACCTTTTGACATTAACATTGGATATTTAGGTACTTTAACAAAAAAAAAAAAACTTCACCTCGGCCATAACTTTGGAACGGTAAGGACAGGGCTTCCATACTTCACTTTTTGCAATACTTGTGAGAAGATCTTTCTTTGGATACCAGGAACTTTGATCCTTTGACCTTGGAGTTTGACCTAATTTTTGAAAACAAACCTTGACCGTAGCCTTTGAAAGGTAGGGCTAGAGTTTTATACTTTACATATGCAATTGTTGTGACAATTAAGATCTTTCAATGGATACCAGAAACTTTGACCCTTTGACCTTTACCTTGGAGTTTGATCTACTTTTTAAAAACTTTAACTTTGGTCATAACTTTTGAACGGTTAGGACCAGGGCTTTCACACTTCACATATGTAATCCTTGTGACAAAAACTTTTTTTAGAAACCAACAACTTTGCCCTTGACCATGAAGTTTAATCTACCAAAAACTTATCTGTGGCCTTAGCTTTTGAACAGGTGGTACTAGGACTTTCATATTTCACAATCGTATTTTCTGTGAGAAACCTTTTGGTACTTACATTTTTAATTTGCATTTAAGAAAAGTTTAATTTTCGCTATGTTGCCATTTGGGGGCATCAGTGTTTGTAATCACATCTTGTTTTTCTTGAATCTGGTAAGAAAGTCGAAAGGAAAATCTAAGGCAGAGGGGAAAGCTTATTCAGAAAAAAATTCCTTCGGCTCAGTTCATTTAACAATTTGAATTTTTTTTTGCTATTAGGTCAAATTTTTAATGAAAAAAATTACCTATTTGACCCCAAAATTAACTTATATAATGATAATTTTATTGATTACTTAAATTGTATGTCAATAAAGCCACGCAACATAAACCAGAGAGTCGGCAAATAGAACGGAGACAGTGTTTTCGTTCTATTTAAAAATAATGACCACACAATAATGAAGATGAATCCAACAAATTAATGAGCATTGATTTTATTGAACAAATACCCGTTTCATAACCATTGGGTAACCTCACGTGTGCGGCTGCGTGGTTTTTTGTTTCCCAAAGATGACTTGATTTTCCCCAGGCAGCGTACCAGGATGACTCCGAGGATGAAGATCCTTTTTATGATGTGCCTTTTGCTGGAAATTTCTAATTCTGCTAAAGGTATGTTGCGACTTTATAGTTCAAAGTCTTAAAACCTTTAAGGTAATGAGTAAGTGATTTATTTTTTGCAAATTAATGACTTGCCCTTTTATTAATAAAACGATTTGAGGTTATTGTGAAAGACTAAATTAAGTACCTGAATAATATATTAAACAGATAAAGTCATTACAATTACCAGCAACCATCTGAAGTTATATCTGTTTTTGCTGAATTTTACGACAATGCTGTGTATAAAATTAGTTTTATCCAATTATTTATTTTGCAATTAAATTTTTCAAATCACCATTATTTTTTCATACGAACAATCATGTCGTCATTGATGTATCTGCAATATTAATTACAAAAATGTTTTTGAGACGTAATTGAAAGCAAGATATTAAACATGTTTTTAGGTAGCTAATGATTTCTCTAATTGCTGGAAGGAATAGATCGAAGACTGTGTTTAATATTACTAACGTAAAAAGCAAACACCCAGGTAGCGATTCTAGAAATGTTTGCCAAAAAAGTAAAATTATTAATTTAACAAAAAATAAAAAGATAATTCAATAAATATTAGGCAAATAAATAAAATGTTAAAAATTGGAGAAAAAAGAACATATCAATATATAAACAACAGAGTTTTTTTTTGTCGCTACCTAGTGTTGTGTAGCATGTGTCTATCTACATCTGTGATAACTGATGACACTGAACAGCTAGCGCGCTTATATAGTGGACCTCAGATATAGTGAATGAATAATCGAATATGGCGGACAAATTCCTTTTACGAATCATGTTCAGCTTTAAGAATACATATATAACATCATGGTTCCTATTTAACATATGATAGTTGAACGGCAAACAGATCCAGTGAACTCAAAAACTAAATGTGTATGAATAAGTATAAAACTTAAGGATTCTTTCTTCTGAATGACTTAAAATTTTTATTTCCATATAGGCAGTGGTTCCTACGCCGTGACGTTGATGAATTCTCTCCTGGCGACCTATAACCCCGGAGTCCGACCTGTACTGAACTCATCTATCGCTGTACACGTCAACGCCACATGGGAGGTCATAGTTGTTAGGGGAGTGGTACGTTGCGCAATGAATTTACGTTTAAATATTCTGAATAACTTTAAGCTCATTTGAAAAAAAGCACCGCCTAAGTGAGTTTTTTTTTTTGGATCAAAATTTGCTTGTCATCCAGTGCGCCTTTTTACTATCTGTTCAAAACATTTTCAACTTTCTCCAATACGAATGCCCTGTGCCTATTTTGTACAAAAGCACCGCAGTGAAAAGCAACTGAGATTCAAGATTGAACAAATGAACGAAGGGTTTCGTTCCGCGAGGCGCATTGATTAGAGAGTGTGTTCTAGAGTTGCAGAGTAAAGAGTCAATCCTGAAGTCGCAGGTTAGAATTCCACAATGGAAAAAAATTGAAAAAATACGTACTAGGAATAGATGCAGAAAATATTCTATAAAGACATATACTAGCTTTCGCTATTGGGTTAACCCTTTAACTCAATTTATGGAACACTGGACTGGCAAGCCGGAGGCCCCTGGTTAAATCCCCAGCACAGACAGTTACATTTCTTTGTTACATTTGGCGCCCAACGTGGAGCCGGGTGTTCTCTGGCGGATGAGAGTGATTGTCCCTTGAAATTCGCCCCACAGGTGTCGGCTCTCCGAAAGAGCTCGAGACATCTCATTATCTGAAGAGGGACAATGTGGTAGTGTCAGATACACGGCATCTTACTAGCTTTGGCTATTGGGTTAACCCTTTAGCTCAATTGGTAGAGCATTGTACTGGAAAGCCAGAGGCCCCAATAAAGCAAAGATTCAAACTTGTTTGAATCAAAGCCCCATAGCACCAGGAAGGAACCATAATGGGGATTTAAAGTATAAATTAAGTATTTCCAAATTCACGTACCCTATGAAACCTATTTATTAAAATATGCAAAATATCAGAGTTTTACTGATTGCCTAGAGGGAGAGTGATTCAGTGAAGCATTGGGTCAAATGGGCTGTCTGTTTATTGTTTGTTTCCTTTTTTTGTTTTTGGATAATATTTTACTGATTTTCTTCATTATTTTTAAAGGTTGAAAAAGAGTCCAAAACACTAATGACTGTCAGAATCGCTTGTGTAAGTACCAAAAAACAAAATTTATGATAATGCAGTTAATCAAGCAATGATCTTCTGTTTCCAAATCTGAAAGATAACAGAGAAGAATTTCAGAATAAGCTTTAGGTAGTAAATTCTTTTTACTGCCATTAAATATTTAGTAAGAAATAAGTGAATAATTATAAAATATGTATTGAACACATACATTTATAACAAAGTAAAATGTGTCATTATTTACATATTTTTTCTTTTAATCAACAGACTTGGAAAGACGAATTTTTAACATGGAATCCACGTCTTTACGGAAATGTATCACGACTTGTTTTTGGAGGGTCGCAAATTTGGAGTCCACGATTGCTCATCTTAAACAAGTAGGGGCTTAAAATATTAAATGATCAAATTTGTACATACATAACTACATTTCAGTAAAAATAATTCGAAAATGTTAACTCCTACCGTATCCCGTGTTTGATTCATCACAATCAAATCAGCTATTGAAATGCCTAGTTTCATATTGTAGTACACTGGATAATGTCAATATTTTACAGTTTTATAATCACTCCTGCTAATTCAGAATCACCTACAATATTTTTGACTACCTTTATGGAACTCGTTTTGATGACATTTTTTTCAGACTAGGACAGTTTATGTCCAAAGGCTTTACGGAGGACTTAATCGAAGTGACCAGCGATGGTATAGTTACTGCCACACATTCGGGGGACATTGAACTCGCCGCTAATATGGACACCCAGAGGTTCCCATTTGACAGCCAAGTTTGCTCAGCTTTAATCCAATTCAATAAGTATACACCTTCCGAGGTGTATATGGAAGACGTGCGTCTGGAAATTTTCCAATATACAGAATCGCCTGTGTGGGAGATAGCCAGTGCCGACACAATATATTTCTTTTACCCATATACTCAGATTGCCTCATTTAAGTTTACACTGAAGAGAAAACCTCTTTATTACGTGTTTACTATGTTTGGACCATCTTTTATATTATCTATTCTCCTATTGGCTGCTTTCTTTTTACCCAATGACAATGGAGAGAAGATTATGTGCGGGACTACCATTTTTCTGTCTTACGTCGTGTTTTTGACTTATTTGTCAGATATGTTACCCGAGGATTCCAACAATGTTCCTAAAGTTGGTAAGAAAAATGTCAAATACTACAGATAAGTTTAAAACATATTTATATAATTTACATTTGATGACAAACGCAAATGCAGAATAAAAATTAAATTTTGATCTTGCCATTTAACAGATTTTGACATTGTTATATTTCTAATAATGAAAAAAAAAATCACAAAGTTGAATTCAGTGTGTTTTATATGTAAATTTCAGTGTTACTGTTATAGAAAATTTCGCCATTTCTCTAATAATGTTTTATCCTTTTTGAATATTTATCTTCAGTCTGAATATATTAGGTCCTTGGACTTTCTTCATTTCCCCTAGAAATACAGTAGACTTTTTATTATTATTTTTTTTCAGGAATTTACTATTTATTACTGATGGTCAGCAGTGCCGTTATGGTTGTCAACTCTATAGCAGTGAATTCCTTTAGAGAGAAAGATGATGGACTCTGTTTTCTTAAAGCCACAAAGAGACATAACGTTCAGCGTATTTTGCCAAGAATTATAAATATGATCTGTTTTGTAATTTCTTTTGCCTGCACTTTTTCTGCATTTCTAATTATATTTGATCAGTAGTGATAAGACATGGTAGAAATTTATGAAATGCTAAAAATACCTCATGACAATCGCCATTTTAGGAAAATCAAGGTCAAATTTCTGTTATAACTTTACACTAAGTTGACTGGTTTTTTTATTTAAATACCACTTACGTTTTTAGCTGTGTTGCTGCTTTGGCAGCATATGATCGAGAAAACATTGGTTCGCCTAATCAACAACAATAAATTCCTCTCAAAAATTTAGTATAAAATGTGTTTCTTGTTAGTTGCCAAATGCTCCGAAAGGGATAGGAAACATGTATGTTATCTTGAGAGACAGTAAAAAAAAAAGTTTACACTCTCTCTCATTTAATCCCACATAAGAAAAAAAAATAGTTCAATACATGTACATAAATTTGATTTTACAAGGTTTACTTTGCTCTTTCTTGCAATTAAATGTCTGATCAAATGATGTTGTTAAGGCAAAACATTATCCAAGAAATGGAAAGAAGTTTAAATATATGCAATCATGGATTTGCTATTTTTTAGAAAATGATTGAGAAGAAGGTTTTTAAAGAATTTTCCTATATATTTCTCATTCCAACTGAAAATATATTCAACAACATACAGTTAGATTGTAAAACTTTGGTCGGCCATTTTGGCCCCGCCCTACCCCCATGCTTCCATATATATATATGGGGGTCATGATGAAAAACTTGAATCTACACTATAGCTTCCATATATATAATTTCAGCTCCAAATCAAAGCATAAAACAAGTTCGTAATCCTTACAAAATAAATAGAACACATTTACGATCCCGTATTAAAAATTCAAACAACGAAGCGAATTAAATATCTTTCAAACAAATTAAAATGTGTTCTTGAGAAGAAGATTTTTAAAGAATTTTCCTATATATTTGTAAAACTTTTCGGCCATAATATGAAAATTATAAAGTTCTGATTTTTAAAATATACCACTAAATTTTCATTAATTAATAAGGGCGTGGCCCTTCATTTAACATTAACAGTGAAATTGGAGTTCTTGAGAAGAAGTCGAAAATGTGAAAAGTTTCCCCTGTGATATTTGAATCAATATATGCTATTTGAAATATATTCAACAACAACAGTTAGATTGATGAATAGAATTTCAGCTCCAAATCAAAGCATGTATTAAAAATTCAAACAACGAAGCGAATTAAATATCTTTCAAACAAATTAAAATGTGTTCTTTGTTATAATATGAAAATTATAATGTTCTGATAAACTAACATTAACAGTAAGAGCTTAGCATATTCCCCTGTGATATTTGAATGATGCTATTTAGAACCAATCATGTACTAGTACTCATTGATTGACAACATACTGAGTCCGCAATTACAGTCAGTGTTATCAAATCTTGCTTTCCTAATGAAGGAGATTATTTTTTTTGAAAAAGATCCCTCTATTGAAGATTTCAATTGATTATAATATTTCATTATTTTCATATCTTAAATGTATATGGTAAATGTTTTGTTTTCCCCCGCTTTCGCGAAAGCGAGGGGACATTAAATCTCATTCGTCTGTCAGTCTGTCAGTCAGTCTGTCTGTCCGTCACAAAAACTTTAACCTTGCTCATAACTTTTGATTTAGTGGAGCTATGACTTTCATATTTCACATGTGTATTCCTAGTGACAAGACCTTTCTTTGGGTACCACCAAATTTGACCCTTTGACTTTGACCTTGGAGTTTGACCTACTTTTTAAAAACTTTAACCTTGGCCATAACTTTTGAACGGTTCGGGCAAGGGCTTTCATACTTCACGTATGTAATACTTGTTGCAAGACCTTTCTTAAGAAACTTCCAATATATTAAATCTATTTTGTCATACGTGGTCATCAGGTTCACTTCCTTATAACTTTTGATTGAGAAGAGAAAGGGCTTTCATATCTGATATGTGCATTACATTTGACAAGATTTGACACAATATGTCATAAAAAATGACATCCCACCCACAAAGACACCGAAAGCGGGGGACCACAATTCTTTGAATTTGCTTGTTTGTTTGTTGAAAGTCACTCGGAGAATCTTCAACTCATATTTAGAGGCAACCACTTGCTGGTTGCATGATGGTTGCAATTTTAGACATGTACTCGGCTTCTGAGGCCTTTGAATAGTTTAAGGATCTTTTTTATGCCTGTATTTACTTTGACATGGGACCTCAATTTATGCGTGTAATAGAGTAAAAACATGGCCGTAGTGAGAGTGGAACTTAAAGATCAACTCCTTATTCCACTTCGTTCTTACAACTGCACCACACGGGCGCCTATAAGATATAAATACAAAGTTTTATTTTTATTAGAAAATACACAATTCTTTACTATTTATACAAAATTTTAGCTCTGCAGAGAAAACAAGGGAACTGGATCAGAACTTCGTTTGGGGCCTCTCGGTGGTTTTCGGTTCCAGATCCACAGCTGTCGATCGGTACCTAGGCATTTCGCCATGGAGACCGACTGACCATCTTCTGACAGTTCTATACATCGATCACTGTTTACGTGTTGAATTGTTCCGTCCTCAAGAAAAGAGAAAACAGTTTATTTCATATGCAAAATACTACACAGGCAACTTCGCTACATATGATCCACATATGTGTATCATTTGTGAATCATATGATTGGTTTCATACGAGAATCATAAAAAAGGCATCATATGTGAATCATATGAAGCAAATCATATGATTCACATATCATCCTCATATGAAAGGCAATGCATATGTGGATCAATGTGGCTAAATTGCCTATATATGTATTGTAATAAAAATCTTGAAAGACTATACATGCACATGGTTTTAATGCAGATATGGAAATAATATTCTCTTTAATTTTATTCACCATGTATTCATGTAAAGCGACTTTCAGAGAAGAGGTTCTGAAACGCAACGGACAAAAAGATGAATCGTCATTTTATATGCAAGAAGTAATGAAATATATCATGGAAACTGTCAAATTATACGGATATAAAATTTGTGATAGGTTGCCTTCAAAGGAGATTTAAGGTACCCTTGTATCATTAACTTGTTTTTCAGTAGATACAAGTATATGATACTGTACATCTTTGTAAGTCCAGTTTTGGTTTCCACCGTCTCCATGACAACCATTGACGACAACTTCCTGCCCTGAATCATCTATACAGCCGTGTAAATCGTGACGTATTTCTCCCTTTTGTGTGTATAACCAGTACTTTGTGAGAAAAAATAATGAAAACTTAGTACTGTGTGGAAGAATGAATATATCCGGCAAAGTCGGCATGGATTTGATGTACAATAATATTTGTCTAACTGTTAAAGATTCTGCTTCATTTATCCATATTAAGTGACTTACAACTACAGTATTTTGAGGATGACGTTTACTCAGGTTTCAGATGACAGAAAGGAAATTTTATAAAGTATATGTTAAATCAAAAATTGTTATAAATGGATAAAATAACCAAGTTTTAAATCAATGACAATTTAAAAATTAAATTTTTCCATTATTTGAAGAAAATATACCGGAACAAAAGTCAATATATGGTTGCAGACGAAATTCGGACTACATTTTTAAAAAAAAAAATTATCAAAAAAAATTATTTCTTGCAATATCAATTTGAATGTAAAGGTTATATGTATTTTTAAACATCATTTTGCAAATATTTTGGGTGTAAAAGCTCATGAATTATTTCAAATAATTGAATGTTATGAAATTTAGAAATTCAAAAATATGAACAAAAACCATTCCAGACAATATATCTCATTAATCTGACCATTGACCTTATATATTATTAATACCATAAGAATAAGGTTAACAAAATTAACCTGAGGCTATAAATAATTTTAAAGGTTTTATCATTCTGATATTTGTAATATTCGATTAAAGATGGAGGAAAATATAAGAAATATGACAAAGGAAATTCCGACTGAAATAATTAGCAAGTTTATGGTCCAAACTCTGTTTATTTATATGAAGTAACGCTGTTCCATTCCTTTTATATTTCATCATTTAAAGAGTTTTGTTGCTTGTAATATTTCATGAGTAAAGAAAAAAGTGTGAAAATTTGAGGTATTTTCTGAGAAATAATCAGAGGCCACTAGCATGAAAAGTAGGTCATTGACCTAGTTATCTGATATTGAAAATTAACTCAAGAATCATACGTGTGCAATGTGCAATAGATGGTTTTTCGTTCTTATCAGTGGAATTTTTTGTCATCTGAGTAAAGGAATACCTTAAACGATTTTAACAAATCTATCAGTTTATCACAGACAGAATTGCAAAATGAAGGTAGTTTTTATAACATATGAGGTATGTATATTGACAAGAAATCAATACAGATTTTTCAACACCCTTGTTTCTTTGCAAATTGACCTTAGCTTCATATGTTAACATTTTGATTGTGAGCCAAAGTTTCACTTATCATAAATGATATTTTACCTGATTTCCTTTTTGTCCATGACAGTGGTATACCTGTAATGGTTTATTAACCTCACCATATCTGTTGGAACTTTCTAAACACACGGGTTGTGTCTTACTTCTAATCTAAATATGTGTGCACGAAAAAGTTCAAAAAGAATTTAGAAAAGCAAGCTTGATGTACAAATTGTTCAGAAGACATTATACGAAATAAGCTTTTCAAATTATACTACCTACTGTACATATTAAATATTTGAACCTTTAAGATTGACAGATGATTCTATGTTATGATGTCCAATGTATGACAAAGTTATGACCGGAAAGTTATAATTTCATCTATCAAAAGATTCTATAACTTTTTCCATACACTAACCTCCCCTGAATATAAAGCTTCAGCGGGAACAATCAGTTCCGGGTAAACATTAGTAAGGAACCAGTCAAAACTTCTGCACTTCAATCTCTCTCGTAAAGCCTTTCGTGCCGATACATCACCATAATCACCCTACATTAGTAATCATCAATATATCTCCAATAAAAATTGAAGGAATCTGGTATCATTTACATGTACATGTACATTTGCTGATTATACACATTTTCATGATTATGTTGATTCTCATTTAAAATATTTTTTTCTTTCTTTAAGCTTAGCAAAGTCAACATGACATGGAATCAGCAAGCAATTAACTTACAAGGGTATAGTTAATTTGTTGGTAAAAATATTCTTTAAATTCGTCGAGCCAAACTTCCGCCATGCGCACATTATTGTTTCTCACAACATTAGGATTTGATTTGTTCAAGTATGGTGGCGTCTTCCGGAACACGTGACCAATGTGAGAACAAGGAGCCGTGAGAAGTGTCCCGCCACACATCCAAATCTGATACAAAAATAATCTACATACGAGTTATTTGAGGTCCTTTTCTTGAATAATTAATGAAAGGGGATCAAGAAAGAAGTGTGTACATATACAGTGATGTATCCTTTCTCCCAAACAGAATGAAGACAAAATCAGCCATAATTTCATACTGTGAATTAAGTTAATCGCCTTTAAAAAGAAGAAAGTACCATTAACTTTCATACTCCATTTGTCCTATTTTATATGTTATAACAAAGTATGAAGTAATACAAAAGTACCCTAAATGAGATTTCTAGGTTCTCTCCTCCCCAGATATCCATGCCTTCATCATAAGTCCCCAGGTGCTCAAAGTACTTTCTACTGATGGCGAACAGACCACCGGCCATTGTCGGTGACCTAGAGTGTTAGGACAGAAATCTAATGCAGGAGATTCAAAATTCATCTTTATACATCAGCAACAAACCTTAGTGACATAAGTGACCTGAGAAAGTAACTAAAATGTGTTTCTGTAATGTAATAATAAATGTAAAACATTGCAATCATTTGACCAATTACGATTTAATTGCTAAACCCTCAATTTATTCTTCACCTGGCGGGAAGGTAATGTTTATATTGTCGACGTATTTTTTCAGATTCAGGGATGCCATGCCATGTAAAAGCCATCGACCAATCAAATCCACCGACGCTAGTCGTCTCGGCAGGTAGAAAGAAGTACTCAAAAGTATCGCTGTCTATGACGTCAATAACAGGGGTCACGACCGTGGTCCAGTTCCTGGCTATTGGGTCTATCAGGGGTTCTACCCACCCTATTAAGTATGTAGTAAGAAATATTCGAATATTTCAGTACGGTTTCTATTAACAAAGTATGCAAAAAAGAACCAAAGTCAATAGAATATTTTCATATCTGTACCTATAATAAGAAAATATGATTTTATTTGGACAAGTAACATGATAAATTATAGTATTTTAGATTGTTTGCTTTTTATAAACTATGAAATTAAGAAATTAATATGGTATCAGGTTTCTAATGAATGAACTAAAGAAAATAAGACACAACGATATTTTAGGAGGAGTGGCGCTTTGGGAAAAGAAAATTACAGACAAATAAATAGATAGGCCATATGAGAGATACAGTTCTGGCAAAACGGAACTTTAAATAAAGAAAACTGTTTACCTTCGGAGCATTCTATATGAGAGTCAAGAAATACGACAACATCCCCAACCGCCACCTTGTATCCCAAGATCCGCCCTCGTGTCAAGCCCTGTCGCTCCGGGGCTCGAATTAGTTTGACTTTCTTCAGTTTGGTCAGAAACTCTTCCATTGGACCCTTTAAATGCTCTGTCAGATAAAGTAGTAATATATGTAACGTAACTATAAATCATCTCTGTGAGGCATTTCATGGAATTTTAACGCTTTCCAAATACTCACCCATAGTTGAAAAATCGTCCACGAGGACAATCTCTTTTAAAATTGAAGGAGGTGTTCGATTTATTATACTGTAGATACTGCGAAGTAGCACACTCCAAGCCTCGTTATGAAATGTAATCACCACGCTGACTACCGGTAAATCATTGCTGTATTTGATTGTAAGGCATCTAAGATTAAGACAATAGATTTATTATACTAGATTGTACGAAAGTGCATTCTCATGTAATGCTTGAGAAGATGATTATGTTACTTTTCAAGATGAGTTCTTGTTTGAAGTGTTCAAACTTTTTAAAATCTTTTCAAAATGATTTTGCAAAATAACATCTTCATGATAGTTATCATATACGGTCATTATTTGTTATCAATGAAAAAGAAACATGAAATTCTGCTAGACGAAAGACTTTTCAAAAAGATTTGCAGAAATTTACGTGTTTTAGATTTGCTTTAAACCTAAGATACAGTGATACCATGCTTACTCTTTGTCTCTGGAGTCCAATAGAGTACGCTGTACTGATATCTTCTTGCTGACAAACTCATTGAAATTGTGTATTTTCCAACCATTTTCATACACCAGTTTTTCTTCTGGACTTAACTGTGTTTTATTCACTCTAACAGGTATACCCAGTTCTCCTGTTGAAATTTGGAGATAACGAACAGTAATCAAGCTCAAAGTCCATTGAAAAGATACAAAATCTCGGACCTCTAAAACACACAATTGGGTCAGGTGCTTTGGAGGAGAAAGTGTCCCCGTGGGCCAAATAAATTTCAAATTCTATTTTAAGGATATTGATTCTGTTTACTGGATTTATAAAAAAAAAGTTTTGCCTAAGAGGGAATAATGTAAAAAAAAAAATCATTTCTACATACTGTGAAATCACTACTTTTCGTGGGGTGTAATTTTCGTTGTTGTCGAGGAATCGAGGGACCCTTGAATTTATGACCACCACGAAATGTAAAATTTTATATGCATTACTACTAGACATTTTCAAAACAACGAAATCAAATCCAACAAACCAATATTATTTCCTCAAACCTCGAAATTTGACCACTTGAATATATGTGATTTTACAGTACCGTACCTGGAGCAGTTATGTCCTCCGCAGGCTTAATTATGGATCCAGAGTAATCTAAGCCACCGTTGCTTCCACGACTAAGATCTTGTTGATTTCTTGAGAAGTTATATCCTGTCATTCTCTCCTTGAAATTTCCCATGTCCTTCGGAAAATTAGAATTGTGTATGGAAGACGGCAGAAAAAAGTATCTAGTAACAAATAAAGTAACCGTAGAAATGATAATTCCTCTTTTCAAATATCTTTTTATATAGCGGAGATTCATTGTCTGAATAAAATGTCCGCGTAAATTCTCTAGACTTGATTGAGATTTGTCCACGCGTTATATTAATAACAGATGTCACAATAGAGCATCATATAACATCTTACGTTTCATCAAGCCTTACAAAGGATATACCTGTATAAACGTTTCAACCAACCCAAAGCATTGTGTAAAATGTGTTAATGGCATGCAGTAAAAATTCGAAGAAACAAAAACAGTTTCTTGTTTTCTAGAATATTTAGATTTATTTCAAATCAAATCGATTTGAGCATGTGCTAGACAATACACGAGAGACAAGGCGGCAGCTGATAACATAATCTTTCTTTCGTCACCTAATGAAAAGATTTCATCAATAAACAACACCTTTTACAAGAAAGAGTAAGATGATCTGAGAAAGACAATCATTAGTTACCAGTATCAGATAAACGTTAAACTTATACATTTAAGTCGTGCAACAGTTGAGATAGGACGACAAGGTTTCATGAAGATAATTGATTCCAGACAATATATGCAGTAATACGAGTCCTCATTTTTGTGCCATTTTCATCTATTTGTTATTTTCACATTTCGAGAAATTCATTTTTAATTTGCAGTCTTTCATGTCACAAGGGATCAGTGGAGGGAACAAAATTAATTGCATGAGGAATAATTAGCTTGCATTTAATTTACAAGTCTTTTTCGGTCTTTTATAACTGCATTTGACCTTAAATTAAGGGGCATAGACACAGTTTCAGCTAAAAAAAGAATGATTTTTTTTTCCATTTTAGAAATATTTAACTGTCTTTCTAATACATGTAATTATCAAAAATTTGAACTTCAGTTGTCGAGATACAAGACAGATTTAGAGCGCTCCAAACCTTTTTTTCATGTAAACAGGGTCCGAGTCATGTTTTGTTTACATAGCTTAATATACCAATATATGTTCGTTCAAAACAGATGATTTCAATAAAGAAGTTAATTCTAAATAGAAATTCAATTCGACAGTTTCTAGTGACTCGCTGAATATCATTTTGTTATAAATATATGACATTTTCTATATGTAAACAAAAACCAGGCACGAGCCTTGTTTACATTTTGAAGAACTTTAAGTTCTGTATCTCGTTTGTTAATCAATAAATGATGTTCAAATTTTTGCTGACCATTAGATGATGCCTTAGTTATGAATTATAAGCATTAAAATTGGTTTTAAAAATTCAATTGAAACTCTGTTTATGTCCCTTTAACAATATAAGATCCACTACTAGCATTACAGGAGACGAAAGCCTAAAATTTCTTTTCTGGATTCAAAGTTCCTAAAATTCTAAATGTTCTGAATTTCATAGATAATATATAGTTGAACACTTGCTGCTATATATGGTTTCAAAATGGTTAACTGATATGCATGGAAATTGTATAGATAACAATAAACTAAATTGATAACTGTAAGCTGTCAAATTAAAAAGTAAAATCTACTAACTAGCTTTGCTATTCGAAACTCTTGCAAGAAACAGAAGAACCCAGGGCTTACATGTACTTTGTCTTCAAAGCAGAGTAATGGACTACATTAAACACAACGTCTTTCAAATCTTCGTCATCCCCCATGCACCAGTCTTGTGTGGAACATCCTCCGTTCGAGAGTTGTGATCATTGAGTAAAATAGCAAATCAAGTATTTGAAGAAAGTAAACCTAAGTAGTCTGTTTAGCTTTCGCCGAAGAACATTTAAGTTGAAGACCTCAAAACAATCTGCTTAAAAGGTTCTAAATACAAATATACAGAGATCAAGGCCGAATCTTTCAAGAGAACTTTATTTCCTGGAGAAATTCTGTCGAAGATTGGGTCAGGTGTTGGAACAAATGTAAAGGAGAAACCTGATTGTCGAAATGAAGTTAGGATTTTTGAAAATACATTGTATAATTTTTGAAAAATCCTTTAAGAAAATTAACGGAAATATGTGAACAATCTATTCTTCGTTATGACTGAATCAGAGGTGATAAAAGAATATTAATAAACAATATCTTACCGTAACGTTTCCAACAGACAAGGCTTATACATGTGGCAATATAGTCATTTTTCGGTTGTGAAGCTTATTGTAATATTTAGAATATTCTTAGTTTTAACTCTATGTCTCAAAATCCAAGTAAGTAGTATACTTCGCTTTGAATTTTTTTTTCAAATTCACAAATCAGTTTTGATACTTGTAATATCCATGTCGTTCAAAGTTAGACCTATCTACCCTACCAGAACTGGATTCATTAATTTCATACAAATCTTTATAAAGAAAACTGCATGCTATTCTACAAATTTTTTCCTCACCAAAAATCCCGTGGGGATCCGGGTTAGAATAGGTCCTCAGTATCCCCTTGCTTGTCGTAAAAGGCGACTAAATGGGGCGGTCCTTCGGATGAGACCGTATAAACCGAGGCCCTGTGTCACAGCAGGTGTGGCACGATAAAGATCCCTCCCTGCTCAATGGCCCTGAGTGCCGAGCATAGGCCCAAATTTGCAGCCCTTCACCGGCAATGGTGACGTCTCCATATCAGTGAAATATTCTGGAGAGGGACGTTAAACAGTATACAATTAATCAATCAATCCTCAACAAAAAAATGATGTGAAGGATAAACTTTGATTTACTACTGTATGCTACAGCTGATTCTAGAAGTGTGTTTACTACAAATCAGATGTGGTTTCTCAAAAACTGCAATGGACTTTCGGAAAATTTAGAATCATCAAAATTAAGTCAGAAACATTACAACACTATATACATTCATTTCTCACGATAAACTAGCCTAATGTTTTTGATATCATATTAAATGCTTTGTAGCAACCGCTAATGATACAACACCGCTTAATGATACAAATACCATTAGGCGTTGCAATGCAACGCTCAATGTCATAATTCATTGCATTAATAGTTGACATGCTCACCCGCTTAATGATATAATTCTTTCATTAAGCGGCGATGTAACAATAATGGCTGAAAAGGTCAGATTTATGACATTAAGCGTTGCAGTTGCAACGCTTAATGATATTTGTATATGTATCATTAAGCGGCGTTATATCGTTAGCGGTTGCTACAATGCTTCCTCAATAAGGAACTCAACAAATATGTTAATTTAAAAACCACTCTGAAAGTATTCCAAAATTCATATTTAAAGAATGCCAGAGTTCTTCGTTAATGTTAGAGGGATTCCAACGACCTCGTTTAAAAGACAGCTTTTGGAAATTTTCCATGGTCGTAATAATGGCCTTGTTAGTAAAAATAACCTATCATTAGGTCGTACTTTGACTGACACTGTAGAAGCACATATTTTCGTGGGGATAAAATTTCGTTGATTTGTCATCAAAAGTAGTCTCGTTGGCATTTAATTTCGTTGTTTTGATTGAAATCCTATTCAATATATAGTCATATAAAATTTCGAGTGGGATTTAATTTCGTTGATAATTGTAAACAACAAATCAAACGAAATTTAATCCCCCACAAATATTTGTGCTTTCATACAAGATATTTCATACCATTTGTTACACGAAGGCCTTGTTAGAAATATAAAATTTGCTCCGTCAACCTGGTCAGTCGAAAGGAGATGCTAATTTTTCCTTTCTTGATCCCAAAATGCTGAAATCTGTTCTGAAATCCTTGGTGTGAAATTTTCGAGAATCCGAGATTTTACGTTGGTTTAAAAAATTATCCTTGTGCATTTTTATTTATCTTCCTAACAATAACAAGGGCCCTGAGATTACTCCTGGTCATGGGTTCCTGACGAACATTTTTGCGCCAGTTTCAGGACTGAGATGCACTATTCAAACTCCATCTATCATAAGTATAAAAGTGGAAACAGGAGGGAAGCAATTAATGTTACAGTAAAACTCGGTTAGAACGAAGTCACTGGGACCTTTAAAATTACGTCGCTATATCCGTAATTCGTTATATCCCCAGAAGAATTTGTTAAATTTATATAGCTGAGGATCCAAGAAAAATTCGTTATATCCGTAAATTCGCTATATCCGTGTTCTTACTAAACGAGTTTTACTGTACTCTTCTTTGCCGAAAACGACGCTTCAGTCGGCCCGTAAAAATAAAGTTTGTCAGGAATCCAAAGGCCAGGAGAGTAGTTTTGAGGATTTGTTATACACAACCAAGAGAGATCTATTTTTTCCCGAAACTGGTATTAAAATGTAAAGTGCTTTAAAAATTATAATGCAGAAGAGAAATTAAAAACATTAGAAAATAAGAGCATTAACTTGAAAGATATAAAAACTAAACCTTAAGACAGCTTAATCGATGAGAAGAACTCTGGGTTTTCAGACAAATAACAAGGATTTAAAGTTTTCAACAATTTATTACTAACTTTCAGTAGTTCGACATAAAGTATAAACAACATAATGTACAAAGAATCGATCTTCAACCCAAAAAACTTAAGTAGCTCTTTACACTATTTTGCAATGATGGTATAATATACAATGTTCTTGCAGCCAAGTGATTTCCATAATCTCTATATACATGTGCATGGTTCATATAAACTAGAACTTCTATACATGGTCACTGTTGTTCTATGAAATGTGAAATAAAATGAGCTTGATGAAGTATGGAAAACTTAAGAAGCAATACTTCGTTTGGGGCCTTTCGGTGGTTTACGGTTCCATATCCATAGCTGGCGATCTATACCAAGACATTTCTTCATAGATACCGACCTTCCGTCTTCTGATAGTTCAAGACATCTGTCACTCCCAACACGTTGAATTGTATTGTCCTATGAAAATAAAACAATTACATGTATACAAAATAGACTGAAACTCAAAACGTAAATGACAAAGGCCTTCATGTAAAAGGGTATGATTATATAATTTTAAAACGCAATATTGAGTCAGAATACATTTTACAACCGTCGTTGATGTTTTATTGTACAGAACCTAAAAGAGTTTAAATGTTTAGAACCTATAATCATATTAATTGTTCATATCCCCTGATGTGTTCGATATGACACAACATCAACTTTCTCCGAGGTGAGGTGCTGAATTGTTGATACATGTTTATAGGAATATGCATGTTTCACCTTTACCAAGGTGTTTTCTTTCTATACCTCAAGAATACCCATCTTTAGAAAGGAAGGTGAAACAAATATCTTAAATATCCAAAATCATGTGATCATTAAATTCTTTATCGACATCACCTCCCGATAAGTCCAGTTTTGATTCCCCCCTTTCCCGTAACAACTGTTGACGAATACTGTTTGACCGCTGTCGTCCATACAACCATACAAATCATGGCGTATTTCACCTCTCCGAGTGTACAGCCAATACTACAACAAAACAAAAATCAATCATACAAACAAAAGAAAACATCTCAAAGATGTGAAGTACAAAAACAATAGAAATACTCATAGTTAGGCAAAGTACATGTAATTGTTGAAGAGCAACTGTTTCGCTGAATTGCACATGCATATAGATATTGTTAACTTTAATTTGCATATTTGATTTTCTCCTTCTTCTATTAAATTATTGTAAGACCATTTGGAGTCTTTTCTATGTTTAGCATCCTTTATTTTTGATACTGCATATCAGAAAAAAATCATATGATCTAGATATCTTTTTAGACACAACCTACAATTTTAGAAAATATAATAAATAGTTGTCTAAAAAACTATCATTTAAGTGAAGAGTGTTTGAATGGATGCAAAACAAGGGGAATAAACTTTAACTGGAATGACCTAAGGAGTGAAAGTATGAGCATCACAACATAAACTTCTACGGAAGTAATTGAGAGTTGAGCATACAGTGTACTAGACAAGTATATAACTCAGTAAAAAAAAAACAAAAGATAGGACATTGAAGAACCAATCATTTACCTGATTCCCCTTCAATCCGTGACAAGCATACACTTGTAAAGGTTTATTGACTTCGGCATATCTATAGGGACTCTCTAGACACACTGGCTGGGTCTTGCTTCTTATCTGAAATATATTGCCTCACGCCAGTAAAAAACAAAGCATACTAACGTAACATTTCTGTGTTACAATATGGCACCATCAAAAGTTCTTTGAAGGTCTGATGGGGTCGCAATATGGCTTAAAAACATTTTATTCAATCATATTTTTGTGTAGAACAACATAGCTGAAGGAGACTCTATTGAGCATTGTGGCCCTTTACGTGTTCTAATGGTAATGCCAGTTTGAATTAAAATTTATCTCAAATAGGTTCCAAAAAATATATTTATTTGCTTTTTTTCATTCAATGGAGGGAAAATGCACTTTAAAACTAAGGATTTCTGAAAGTACATGACTTTGCGCGCTGGCGCAAGAAGTTCAAGTATCGCTTACCTCCCCTGAGTATAAAGCTTCAGCAGGAATAATGAGTTCCGGGTAAACATTGACAAGGAACCAATCAAAACTTTTACATTTCAGTCTCTCTCGTAGGGACTTTCGTGCTGATACGTCGCCATACTCGCCCTTCAATACATTTTAAAACTATTATTCCATGAATATCATTAATGTATGTACCTGTATATAATTATGTGTTTAAAAAATGACGATTTCATAACTCTTTTAATTTTTAAATCACTTTGTGTTTAAACAATTGACTTGTTAGGTACACTGTACATGAGTTTTGAGATAAAATCTAAAACTGAAATCTAAATCCAGACATTATGTCAATGAAAGCAGTAGCAGCGTGCTGCAAAATAATGAATGTTAATTTGTTTTCTAAATCTTACAAGATCGTGTTTGATATGTTGGTAGTAATACTCTTTAAAATCATCCAACCAAACTTCCGCCATGCGCACGTTATTGCTTCTTACAACATTGGTCTTTGACCCCCAGGAGTACGGTGGAGACTTCCGGAAAATGTGACCTACATGAGAGCAGGGGGCGACTAACAGTGTCCCACCGCACATCCAAATCTAAAAATAAATCTGAATGGAAATGGACGTTTTAGGTAGAGACATTCTCATCAGGGACTATTCCCTCTAATCATTGTAAAACAGGTAACCATCGTCGGAAACCCAAGGTCAATCTCGCATATGCCATTGACCGTCAATAAACGTATGCTATATTGACCGTCGGTTTCATACGATGCGTTCAACCAAGGACCTTAATTAAAGTTAAAAGAATAAAATCCAACTTTTAATTGATTGAAATGGAAAAAAATTGAAGTGATTCTCAATAATAAAAGTGCTATCTTGTTTTGAGATTATAAATACACAATTCTCACTTTACAAATCATCCTAGATGAACTTAAGTTGCATTTTACTCGTATTCTACGGAAGCCTGTTGGTACCACGTAGGAAAAATATTTTATCTGGCGGCCGCCACATAATTTATATGGCGACCGCCACTTAATATCTGGCGGCCGCCACATAAATTATTTTGCAGAAGTTGAGTGTTGAAAATCGCTGAACGCTGATATCGGCACATTTAATCACAAGGATCCAAGGGTAGTTGCCGAAGGGGAGTCGAGGCCAATTAAGTGACCTTAATAAGTTTGAATTCCCCAATCGCTATGATCCGCCATTGCATGCATCATTCCATTTTGCTATTTCTAACAATAAATTCTTTCTTGTTACAAAAGGTTTAAAAAGAATATTTTCCAAACAAATAAAACGCTTGATTTCAAAACCATGAAAACATCACTTATCCCAAAACTTTGAATTAAGAATGGAACACAAAAACAGAATACTTCATGATTCTGCATGCATATGTTGTATATGTAAGTGTCCAAGGCATTCATACTCATTCATAACAGTTTCTTTTAAAAGGTAAAAACAACAGCTGTTGTTGTTTTTTATTACAATTCTCGAAAAAATAATCTATTGAGATATGTTTGTTTATAAGTAAAATATGAGGTCATCATTGACGTATTGCATACTATTTCATTTCATTTTAATTTATTTACTTCCTGAAATCTCACGTTAAAACATGCGTTGTGGCAACGCACTTTGAAAAAATTACGCACTTTGAAAAAATTTTTCAAAGTGCGTTAAAATTGGGACAAAATCAACGCACTTTGAAAAAATTTTTCAAAGTGCGTTAAATTTGGGACCAACTCAACGCACTTTGAAAAAATTTTTCAAAGTGCGTTAAGAGTCTACATCAATATATTTTACCATGGAGACACTTAACACACTTTGAAAAAAAAATCATATTTTAGTCATCGAAAGATTTTATTTGTTATTTATCTTTCAAAACACTAAGCCTAACCCTAACCTCAAAAGTGAATTGATTTTACTCCCGTCAAAAAGAGGAGAAGATGGGTATAAGATCCCTATAAGTCCAAATCTTTATCTTTCCAATACATAGGTGTCGGTAACAAACGGGGGAGGGGAGCAATAAACCTAGAAAGGGTACGCTGCATTTTCAATGCTTATACGATGTATATATCTTTCCAAAATAAGTGGGGGCTTAGCCCCCCATCCCCTCTCCTTGCCCTTCGCCCAGTCTCGATGTCTATGCTATACTCAAAGCATTCATATAATTATGTATTTACCTAACTGGTATGACGTTGAAAACTTTCAATAATAAATGAGTTAATTAAAACAGATGAATACTAGAAATTTTTAAGTACAGTAAAACGTATAAGAGAAAAAGAATTTTCATAGTTTTGAACAATCAAATTGGCCCCTTTTTATCATGATAAATGCTAAGTTGCTTGAAGCTGTCCTCTGTTAGTGCCCCCTATACACCTTTACATCTACTTATCAAAGACTAGAATAAAAAAAAAAAAAAGAAGAAACGAATTAATGAACTTAAACAATCGTCACTCTTTTTTTCAAGACCCTTGTATTTTCCCTTTTATTTTATCAAAACCTTAAATATTTAAAACGTCAATATCTCAGGTCCTACAGTGACTTTATCATAAAAATGTTATCAAACCAGGATCTGTTATTTATCATACCGATTATTTGAAGGAATATTGAACAATCTTTACATTTTTTTTCAAAGTGCGTTAATATGGTCGATATTAACGCACTTTGAAAAAAAAAATTGTTTTCAAAGTGCGTTAGCTTGGTCCCAAATTTTAACGCACTTTGAAAATTTTTTTCAAAGTGCGTAATTTTTCAAAGTGCGTTGTAACAATGCGTGTTATCTGGCGGACGCCAGATAAATTATGTGACAGCCGCAAAATATTATATAGCGACCGCCGGATAAATATATGGCGGCCGCCAGATAAATATTTGCGGTCGCCAGATATTAAGTGGCGGCCGCCAGATAAAATATTTTTCCTACGTGGCATCAACGGGCTTCCGTAGTATTCTATGAAGCTGACATGTTTGAACTTATTTGTATGAATAAATAATTTACCACAATACCCTAAATGAGATTTCCAGGTTCTCTCCTCCCCAGATATCCATGCCCTCGTCATAAGTTCCGAGATACTCAAAGTACTTTTTGCTGATGGCGAAAAGCCCTCCTGCCATTGTAGGTGATCTAAATATTAGGGGAAAAAATACAAACAGGAATTCATCAGAAATAGGCCTGAACACTTAATCTATACATGTACAGAGAAAGGAACAATCCGCGCAAATATTTACGAAAATTGTCAAAGATTATTGCAGAATAATGACTCGCTTCATACTCAAAGTCCGTGCCTTTTATAAAAAAAGATCATTTAGCTCAGACGATTGCGCTTTTTAAAGTCTGTTAAGAACACATACAAACAATCAGTCTTAATTTAGTAAGACTAACTTAGTTCCGAATTTTGTTGATAATGGTGTAGTAACTTTGAAGTGAGAACTGTTGAAAAGTTCGTGTAAAAGCTCGAAAGTGAGAACAATTGAAAGTTTCCTTAGGACACTCACAAAAGACAGACAGATGGACCACAAACTTCAATCAGAACAGCTCACTTAGGCTGTGGAAAACATCAAATACCTTGGAACAATTCTCACCTAACCGGAAGATAATGTTTATACTGGCGTCGTTTTCTCTCAGATTCAGGGATTCCGTGCCATGTGAAAGACAGTGACCAATCAAATCCACCGACATTTGTGGCCTCGGCTCTTTGAAAAGAATACTCAAAAGTATCCTTATCTATGACGTCAATAACAGGAGTCATGACCGTAGTCCAGTTCTTGACTATTGGGTCTATTAGGGGTTCAATCCAACCTAAGAAACATCGGTAGTAAAATACTTGCATGATACTTGGATACAATTAATGTGTGTTAAAACCAATTTGAAAGAATATTTTGAAAATAATTGATTAAAAAATGGAAAGGAAATATATGTCAAAATCGAACACTACTGCTTTCAAGGAACACAGCTTAATTTTGTTTAGACAAGATTTCGGAATACACAACATCCGGGTAAGATAAGTTTTACTGTAATGTATACCTTCAGTGCATTCAATATGGGAGTCGAGAAACAGGAGAACGTCTCCAACTGCCGCCTTATATCCTAATATTCGCGCTCGTATCAATCCCTGTCGCTTGGGGGCACGGATTAATTTGACTTTCTTCAGCTTAATCAGAAACTCTTCTAATGGAGCTTTCAGATGCTCTGTCAAATGAAGCATAAAAAGATTATGCTGTTATTCTGAAAAAAAAATCTGATTATTCAAAAATTGATTTCTAAAGCAGTTTAATGATTTTTCAAAATTATCTTGTACTTGCCCAGAGTTGAACAATCGTCGATGAGTATGATTTCTTTCAAAACAGAAGGGGGTGTTCTATTTATTATGCTGTAAATACTCCGAAGTAGAACACTCCAAGCCTCGTTATGAAATGTAATCACCACGCTGACTTCCAGTAAGTTTGTGCCGTATGTAATATCTAAGCATCTGCATACAAAACAACAAGAAAGCAAATTTAACACAACCTTACAACAAGAGGCCCATGGGCCACATCGCTCACCTGAGAAGCTTTGACCAATGACCATTCTGTTCTTTACTAGATTTCCCCCTTGTAGTACATATTGTGACCCCACCCTACCCCACTGATCATAATTTAGACAATTTGAAATCTACACTACCCCAGGATGCTTCCACATAAGTTTCTCAGCTTTTATGGCCCCGTGGTTCTTGAGAAGAAGATTTTCAAAGATTTTTCCTATATATTTCTATGTAATACTTTGATTTCCCATTGTGGCCCCGCCCTACCCCCAGGGGTCATGATTGGATTAATTTAGAATCTACACTACCTGAGGATGCTTTCACATAAGTTTCAGCTTTTCCGGCACAGTGGTTCTTGAGAAGAAAATTTTTTAAGATATTTCCTTTATATTTCTTTGTAAAACTTTGATTCCCCATTGTGGCCCCGCCCTTCCCCCGGGGGTCAGGATTAGAACAATTTAAAATCTAAACTTCTCCAGGATGCTTCCAAATAAGTTTCAGCTTTTCTGGCCCAGTGCTTCTTGAGAATAAAATTTTCAAAGATTTCTCCTAAATATTTGTATGAAAAATTTGATTCCCCATTGTGGCCACACCCTACCCTTGGGGGTTATGATTAGAAGAATTTAGAATCTACACTACCCAAGGATGCTTCCACATAAGTTTCAGCTTTTCTGGCCTAGTGGATCTTGAGAAGAAGATTTTCAAAGATTTTTCTATATGTATCTATGTAAAACTTTGATTCCCCATTGTGGGCCCGCCCTACCCCCAGGGGTCATGATTTGAACAATTTAGAATCTACACTACCCCAGGATGCTTCCACATAAGTTTCAGCTTTTCTGGCCCAGTGGTTAATAAGAAGATTTTCATAGATTTTTCCTATATATTTCTATGTAAAAATTTGATTCCCCATTGTGGCCCCGCCCTATCCCCGGGGGTCATGATTTGAACAATTTAAGACCTACACTACCCAAGGATGCTTCCACATAAGTTTCAGCTTTTCTGGCCCAGTGGTTATTAAGAAGAAGATTTTCAAAGATTTTTCCTATATATTTCTATGTAAAACTTTGATTCCCCATTGTGGCCCCGCCCTACCCCGGGGGTTATTATATTAACAATTTAAAATTTACACTATCCCAGGATGCTTCCACATAAGTTTCAGCTTTTCTGACCCAGCGGTTCTTGAGAAGAAGATTTTTTAATGACCCCACCCTATTTTTGTCTTTTCTTGATTATCTCCCCTTGTGAAGGGACTTGGCCCTTCATTTTAACAATTTGAATTTGCCTTTACCCAAGGATGCTTTGTACCAAGTTTGGTCAAAATTGGCCCAGTGGTTCTTGAGAAGTCGAAAATGTGAAAAGTTTACGGTCGGACAGACGGACGGACGGACGACGGACACAATGTGATCAGAAAAGCTCACTTGAGCCTTCGGCTTAGGTGAGCTAAAAAAGTGGTGCGTACCATATATCTGTATTAATCTGTAATTCAGTTATTAAAACTTTTGATATAAATCCTATATTTTTACTATTCTCATTCAAATAGTTGAAGCAACATGTAAAACAAGTCACGTGATCCCTGGGGTACTTACTCTTTGTCCCGGGGGTCCGGAAGCGATCGCTGTAGTGATATCCTGTTGCTTACAAATTCATTAAAATTATTTATCTTCCAGCCCTGTTCATATTCCAGCTTCTCCTCGGGTGTTAACCGTGTCATATTTACAGTGACGGGTTTACCCAGTTCTCCTATTAAAGATAAGTGTATTAATTGTACTAATTGGAAGCTTCAAAATTTGAGATAGATATTTCTTATGCATTTTAAAATGAATTTTTCTTTTAGCTTCGAAAGCAAACTGTACCTTGGGTGTGTTTATCCACAACAACTTTGCTGTTCTGTTCGGAATCATCTTGATCATCAACAAACTTGGACAGTGATAAGTCTAAAGAATCATCCCTGTCGTTGTCGGCAAGTTTCTCTGTCATTCGAACATCATCAGCCTGTTTAAGTGAGTGGTTACTTCCAGCCTGTCTATCCCAGAATATAACGGCTTCCTTCGGATTTAAATTTGAATTGTGTGTGGGAACCGGAGAGGAGAAGAATTTGGTAAAAAATAAAACAATGACAAAAATTATAATTCCTCTCTTCAAATATCGTTTGATATATCGGTGGTTCATCGTGAGAAATAAACGTCTCATAATTTGATTCAGTTATAGCTCCACGTGGTTAATCTATAAAGAATGTCACGTGTTTGGTTATCTCAGATCTTAGCTCGTATCCCTTTGTTATAAGAAGAGAGTTATATGCATGTCAAAAACATTCAATTAATTCTACATGTTAACTTATGCTTGATAATAATTTGTTATACTCTGAATTTGTCCGAAATTCAGTAAACTAAATAAGACATTTATTTTTATGGTTGTTGATGTATGTTAGTAATGTAATCAATGGGACACAATGCAAGGTAACAGCTGACTACAGGAAACTTCTCAAATCAACATCCGTAAAATCTTTTCTGTTGATCAATGTAAAACGTAGACATATACTAGTATGGCAATCGACCAGTCAAAATAAAAAAAACTTATAGATTGATATTTTATCAGATATTTCCTGCCTACCAATTAAGACCTTTTCGTCGGCCTTAAGGACAGATGATACAAACAAAAAATGGATGCCTGGATCGGTATATATTTTTTGGCCTAGTTATATTGAAAATGATGTAAATAACAAATTTCTAGAATATAAAGAAATTGTAAACCTTCTGTGATCTTCAAAAATCAGCCGCTCTGAAACCATCCTTATTAGTCTATACAAATATATTTATCACTTCCAATTACATTTTTGTGAAATTTTGAATAAAAAAATTAAAAACTACGCGGTGAAGCTTTTTCTTTTTATTCATTTAAACATGACTCAAATGTTGTTTTCAAATTTCTTGACATAAGATTGTTTGTATCATCTGTCCTTAAGAAAAAAATTGAAGAGAAAAATAGCAGAAAAGTTTATTAAATTTAAATAGTATCAAAGAATATTAAAAAGATTTGCTATTAAAATTGTATATAACATTTTAGCTATGGTTTTTATTTAAAGTTTACGTAACCTATGCCGCCCAGAAATGAAAAGTTAGGTCTGAAAATTGTAAAGTTGATTGAACATAATAAAAAAAATGATTCTATTATCAGTGAACAGTAAATAAGCAAACAATAAAGAACTTGAAATGAAATTGTAAAATTATATGTATATATTACATGTATATTGATAAAAGATTTGAAAACCATACTAGGAAAAAAATGATATAAAAATGATTTATCAGGTCCATAACTAATTTTTCAAAAAAAGGGAGTTTTGAGAGAAGTGTATAAGAAAACTACAACATTATGGAAGTTGAGACTGACATAATGAGATGAGAATAAAAAACCACCAAACTTCAGGAAAATTTTTAAATTATGTCTTTTCTAAAGGGTACCTAAAATTCCGGACTTTGTAGTGTCCGGACTTAAATGTCGCACTGTTAATAAGAACTGTTAGATAAAAAAATGACATTAAGGTATTTAAAATACGTTGACAACGTCGGTCGCCTTGGATGGAATAACAGTTTCCTCTCCTTTGGCTTCATATGCATCCAATTCTACATTTATTTTTTTTATCAAAAGGATTATGAACATTACACATACAATAAGTTTCAATTTAATTTATAGCAGTAAGTCTTGTCAGTTTATCCTACGGTCAACCACAATCCGCAATTTATCAGATGAGTCAATTTAGGAATCGAATAGCGATAAAATGTCCATAAAAATCTCAATAATGCATTACATTTCAAATCAATTATCGTTAATTGAAATATGAATTAAGTTAGTATGAAGAGATTGAGCAGCTTTCAATTGCATATGAAACATCTATATTTCAGCTAAATTCTTCATATTACACCTGCTGCTTACAATCATTTTGTCATCTTTGAAAAAGTAGCAAGGTAGTTACTAATAGCGAAGTTGGAATCAAATTTACAACGGAGTAAAGCTACCTCGTTGACATCATCGAATGTTGGAAATAAAAATATGACATCCAATGATACACAAAATGTCAGTTATGAGGAGGAAGAATTGGGATATCATATTTACTACTTGGGACTTATGGGATTTTTAATGTGTGTGAACATTCCAGGAAACATTATTGTTATGACGACAATATTACGTCATCAAGAGTTGCATCTTTATAGTAACTACTTTCTTGTGAATCAAGCGGTCGCGGACTTATTATATGGGATTCTCTACCCGATATACAACTTTGCTCAACTCACTATAGTTCCAGCTATTGCGGAGGAATTTGGTTAGTAACGTATAAGCCAATAATCTGACATGTCTTTTATTGTTTTTTTCTTTCGCAATAATTTTGTCATTAAATCCTTGAATGTCACTTTAGAAAAAGTTACGTTTGGTGAAACAACATTTATATAAGATAAGAATTTTCAAGATTTTTGGTGAATAATGGTCACTTTCAACAAATTGTGAAGTTAACACAATATAATCATTAAAATCATAATCATTGTATATCAAAATTTGTATGGTAATGAATTTTATGTGTATGTGCATGTATATATGAAAAACACTCGATATTATTGTAACAAATGTATTTATTTTTTTTAGCACATTACTGATTTGTATTATTTTTTTTTTATATCTCAAGTGATAACAGTTTTTGTGGCTTCACCTTTGAACTTGATGTTTGTTATCTGCTGATCGAAAAACAACCTAGACATTGCTATTGTATTCCCATACCACTACACTACTTTTGTGACGTCAAAGTCAACAACCATCGTCATAGCCTCGCATTGGATTTTTTGTGAATTATTTTCAGTCTGTATGCACGTGATTTACCCACCAAGTATGTTTGTCTAAATTTTCATCAGTAATATAATATTTCGTGTTATGTATTTGTATATTTGTATCAAAATTGCAGGCATTTTTCTAATGATTGTTTTGAAAGCTTAGAATATTTTCAGAAATTTTACATGTTAATATTTCGTAAAAAAAGATGAAGAATTTAGAAAATGCCGATATGAAGACATGTATACGTTAGTGCAGACGTTACTGCTGAACCTGGTGTGTGGATTAATTCCCTTTGTTGTGATGACACTTTACACATCAACAATAAAAATTTTTACATATCATATTGTGCTAATTTAAAATTTCAGGTAAATCATTGACATCTACGAACTTGTCAGATACCAGGTATATATCAAAGTCTATATTATTGTAACAAATGTATTTATTTTTTTTAGCACACTACTGGGGTTGTACTGTCTTTATATCTCAAGTGATAACAGTTGTTGTGGCTTCACCTTTGAACCTGATGTTTGTTACTGCTGATCGCTACATTGCTATTGTATTCCCATACCACTACACTACTTTTGTGACGTCAAAGTCAACAACCATCGTCATAATCATTGGATTTTTTGTGAATTGTCACGTGATTTACCCAGGTAAATCATTAAATTTTCACAGTAATATAATGTCATGTATCTCAAGTGATATTTGTATCAAAATTGCAGGCATTTTTCTAATGATTGTTTTGAAAGCTTAGAATATTTTCAGAAATTTTACTTGTTAAGGAAAATCATGAAGAATTTACAAAATGTCATATGAAGACATGGAAAATCATTACTGCTGAACCTGGTGTGTGGATTAATTCCCTTTGTTGTGATGACGACCCTCTACATAAAAATTGTCCAGATTGTCAGATACCAGGTAAATCATTGTCCACATTGTCAAATACCAGGTAAATCATTGTCTAGATTGTCAAATACCAGGAAAATCATTGTCTAGATTGTCAGATACCAGGAAATCATTGTCTACATTGTCAGATATCAGGTAAATCATTGTCTACATTGTCAGATACCAGGTAAATCATTGTCTACATTGTCAGATACCAGGTAAATCATTGTCTACATTGTCAGATACCAGGAAAATCATTGTCTAGATTGTCAGATACCAGGTAAATCATTGTCTAGATTGTCAGATACCAGGTAAATCATTGTCTACATTGTCAAATACCAGGAAAATCATTGTTTAGGTTGTCAGATACCAGGAAAATCACTGTCCAGATTGTCAAATACGAGGAAAATCACTGTCTAGATTGTCAGATACCAGGTAAATCATTGTCCAGATTGTGAGGTACCAGGTAAATCATTGTCTACATTGTCAGATACCAGGTAAATCATTGTCTACATTGTCAGATACCACGTAAATCATTGTCTACATTGTCAGATACCAGGTAAATCATTGTCTACATTGTCAGATACCAGGTAAATCATTGTCCAGATTGTCAGATACCAGGTAAATCATTGTCCAGATTGTCAGATACCAGGTAAATCATTGTCCAGATTGTCAGATACCACGTAAATCATTGTCTACATTGTCAGGTACCAGGTAAATCATTGTCTACATTGTCAGATACCAAGAAAAGAAAAAAAAGTCATAAATGTTAGGCCCCCAATGTACAAGCTAAAAATTGACATAAAATAGAATTATTTTTAGTTATTAACTCCACCTAGAATTGCTAAAAAAGGTTCCATTTATTTTATAGCAACTTTTTATTGCCTAAAAAGTATAATTTCTTTTGTTTCATTTTGTAGACCCGACAAATTCGCGTCCAAGAAAGGGCAGTGGAAAGAATCGCCATTGGAGATGCAATGAGGGCCAAAAAGACAAATATATCTGACAAAAAATCTATAGCACTGATTAGTCTATTGCTAGCCTTCTATATGTGTGCTTGGACACCGATTCTGGTATATTTCCTGTATGTGTACCTGCATAAAGATCACCCCAGTGCTTACTTAAGGTCAGTTGGATTCATTCTGAAATTATCAGGAACTATTGCTGAAAACACAAAAAGTTTGTTCTAATGTTAAACAAACAATGTTTTCTAGTTACATGTAATGGGACAAAAAAGCTACTCGTGTTATATGTACAAAAGGAGTCTTAAGGGATTATACTTAGGGAATCACTGTCTAGTTACATGTAGTATAGTATGCCAGGGCATCATCGTTGATGTACCTGGCATACTATTCTAACTAGACAGTGATTCCTTATATTTCCATTTCATTGTGAAATAAAATTGTAGATTTATACTTTAAGAATGTAGATAGATTTAAAATACACGAGGACTCCCATGCCAATTTCAATAGTTCTCGCCCACTGACGTCAAACACAAAGGCAGCCGCACGAGATTAACATGCATAGTTGGCCTCCTTAGCGTCAGACACAGAGATAAATGTGCACGAGATTTGCATGCATATTAGGCCTCCTTAGCCCCTGACCTATCGACCTGTCTAATTTACATTCCGGTAGAATTACCAAGTAAAAAACTCCGCTATCTTTAAAGAGTTATCCCGAAAAAATAATTGGAAGTGGAAATATTTGGAAATTTTAGGACAGTTAGGGCTGTGTCGAAGAGGTCTGCTCACATATTACTTTAACTCAGTATAAGTTAAAAGTAATTTCATCTAGAAGAACGAATTCAGTGTTATTAAAGCATTATAATTTTAGCATGAATGCTGAATAACAAACATAAACTTAATAATTTGTTTAATTTTTGATTATTGTCGGAAAAAATATTCAAAATATCCAAAAGATTGGCAAGGGAAGGGGTTCTTCCAAAAATTCTTTTCCACACATAACCTTTAACTGCTGCAAAACAAATTTTAAAGTTAAAAAGAAGGACCTCCCTCAAGATCATTGATATCACAAAAAGGTCGGGATAAAACATTCACATCGCTTACAAAAGGAGTAATATTTTAATTGCTTTAAATTAAAGACAAACAGCACAAACAAACATTTTTAATTAGTACATGTAACCTGAATAATGATTTGATGTTTACCAAGTAAAATGGGAATTTTTTGTAGATTTTGTAAAAATGCAAATAATAAGTGAAAAATTGGCAAAGAATTATATAGGAAATGGCACACGAAGATGTAAATCTAAGCATCAAAGAAAACATCATTTCTGACATGACTTCGTGTTCTCTTTTTTGTATGAAATATGGAGATAACGAACAGTATTCGAGCTCAAAAGTCTATAAAACAATACAAAATAGGATCAGAGCAAATACAAACCTCCAAACATCAGAGGTGGGAGCAGGTGCCATAAAGGAATGAGCATCACCTGCAAACCGGTCAAACCCGCCGTGTGCTCCTTGTCATGTTCGGGAAAAAACGGAAATTTCCGTGGATAGCTCAGTGTGTAAATAATGACCTTACAATAATGAAAAAACCGTCAGCATTTGACTTAATGCAATTACTGAAAAGATCATTGTTACAAACTATGGAAATAATGAAATGATGACTTTAAATGAGACAGCTGATTTGCTTGCCTTGCCAACTTGTTTGTCAGTAATTTAAATCGTTTTAGAAATTGTTTATATATAAAATCAGTAAGAAATAATATTTATCAAATTTTTGTTCGTAATGTATCCTTAAAGGCTCCAAGAGTTACTTCTCTTGTTATTGTAACACTTTAAAATCCTTGACCCAGGATCATGAAACTGAATTATACTTAAGGATACATAACATAAGGGAATCACAAAGGAAATGTCATAAATTGTCAATTCCTAAAATATAAAAAATTCTTTGGAGCTTAGATGTAAATTTATATCTTTATAAAATTCCTTGCGAAGTTTATACAATATAGAATGTTTGACATTGTGAAAAAAAAATGTTTAAAAATTTTCTGACTTATATTTCGAAATTTTCATTTAGATAACTTATACTCGAAGTCTCGAATATTAATATTTACAGTAAGAAATTTTGCTTGTATCTGAAAAAAGTATATGTCATTAATCTTTAAATCAATAGCATCTGTAATACGTTCATTGATTTTATTCTAATTTTTAAATCTGCTGACAACAGCACTCTGGTGATGCAATATTGATAAAAAGTTTGTCCGTTTCAGCATTTCAGTGTAAAACTAAGATTTTGACTAATATATAAATAATAATCCTTTATTTAGACCTTGAAATATCTTAAATAAATATACCTTATGAAAATATTTTAATCTTACTGCAAAAATATAATAATACAGTAAAAATCGTTTAGTTCAAACACGGATATAGCGAATTCACAAATATACCGAAGTTTTTGGAGATTTCCAGCAAAATTCTTACCAAATCTTTACAAAATTTTACGTTTATAACGAACTTTGTAGAAAATTAACGGGTGTGGCAAACTGATTTAAAGTCCCGTGGAGGTTAAAAATAATATTTACATAATTTATAACAAGTTTTCAAATATTTCAAAATCTGCTAAATCAAATTGAATTAATTTTCGGTAAGTATTGGTATGAAAGTGTAATTCATTATAAATCTTTAGTTATCCAAGGTATCTTTTCTAATAACTAGTTCCGTGGCATGTTCGGTAGAACGTTTTATTTGTGAACTCGCTATAGTTATACAAATTCGTTATACGGAAATAACGAATTATGGATATGGCGAATAAAACTCACAGGTCCCCAGGACTTCGCTTTAACTGGGTTTTACTGTAAAATAAATTAAATAAAATAAGAAGGAAAGACTTATTTTCATTTTCATTGACGGTGTGCAATTAGTAAATTGATAATGTTTTAAAAAATATTTTACAGAGCCACCTGTCGGATCTTGGTTTTTACCAATTCCTGTGTCAACGTATTCGTATATTCCTTTCGACTCCAGAATTTTAGAAAGTACATGATGCAAGATTTACGACTCTTTCGCCGATACATCTGCGGTTGCCAGTGTTTACAAGGGAGTGTTCGAAAAACCAGTAATGGACTTTCTATAATTGTCAGTGAGGCTAACGAAAGAACGGCAAACAATACTCAGACTATAAATTGTCACTGAGAAATGTGAGTAAATTTTATTCATAATTGATATGTTTGGAATTTGTATAATTTTACATAATTTAATCAGCTTTACTACATAATGTTATATTACTAAAACATTAAATTTTATGTTAAATGTATTGTGTATTGTCTTATGTGTTAAAAAAGAAACATATATAGGATACATTTCTTCAATGCAATTCATTTTGCCTGAGAAAGCGACATTTAAGTCAGTCTGATCATTTCTAACTCAAGCAAAAGAAGAACAAAATAAGTGTTTTGAACTCGTATTAGTGTAAATATATGATTTCCTTGAATTGTAGAATTATCATTATTTTGAGGGATTAAAATGTACGCATATAAAATTTCATCGTATGTTGATTGTGTAAAACAAAAAGCAAACGTTTTGTTTTGTTATTGACCATAATTTTTCTACTGTATATGGATTTTTCGTATTCATCTAAATAAAGCGCATTATCAGAGAAGCCAAACACCAAATTTTACTTACAATATTTAATATAGGCAAACATTATTTTAACAAGTACACAAATCCACGCATTATGATTTTACTTGCTCGTTGGCAGAATAGGGCATGGCTGCATTAATAAATGAACTTTTAAATGAACTGTTAACAGAATGAAGACCAAAAACTTCAGATTGTTGTAAAATTTTGCAAAATTGATAATTCTCTTTGAAATTCATTGTGTAAAAATAACCACTTTCCTAAAAAGTTTGATAACAATGTTAATGTTCAATGAGGTGTTCAAATGATAAACAGACGGTTGATGACAAAATGTTCAATGATTCATAAGCTGAAAGTTTCTACAAACTGATTATGTTCACTCATAAAATGATACTACAGTTCCTATGGCGATACTGGTGCGACTGAAAAAAAAAACCCTGTCCAAATGAATATTGGTGTGACAAAGTTGGGAGGAAAACAATACTCTTTCCGCCAAATATCCTGCAGGTTCTGTTCAAATGACCATCCACTGATATCCATACTTAATGCAGCTATAACGAAGTTGGGAAGAAAACAATACTCTTTCCGCAAATATTGCAAAATCCAGCAGAAAATAAATGATAATCAACGGGTTGGGTACAAAAACAAAAAAGCTTTGTGTTTGACTCTCAGATCAGCACAAAAACAAAAAAGCTGTGTTTGACTCTCAGTAAATAGCATTAAATCCTATTAATTTTAACATTGCATGAATTTCTATATGCAATGAAATTTTTTGTACAATGTATTACATTTTCGGTCATATATAGATAATATAAAAGGACATATATGGCATACGGTATATAGAATTTATCGGACCTGTTTTATCGGAAGTTAAGAGAATTATATTATGGATAAGATAGTAGCGAAACACAGCTGCCAGAGGAAATATGCAGGAAAGCAAACAAAATGGTCTCTTTTCAACTTTTGTTCAGTTTTATGTGGTGTATGTTCTATAGCGGAGGAAAAGGTGAGTACTAACACTAATCCTTTATTTTTATTTGTACTGATGTTAATAAAATTCAAATTGTGTTTTTCCCACGATGTTCCTCACTCACATTGCTGTCTTAGTAGAAAATGTAATGTAAAATCTATGGGTATTATAATATTTCAATTTTTATTCTATTTTGATATTTTAATGTATTGTACGTACATAACAACATTATTTTTTATCCAAATAGAAAAAAGTTCGTCTACTCTCTAATAAATTGAATGAATTGAAAAAAGCAAAGGATAAGATTTGGTCTTGTTTATTTTCAATGTTTAATGCATGTTCTTGCAGAACCGTTTCCTTTTTTATTGTATCATTTGGAAAACTCTCTTATTTTTATGAAAACATTAACGACTTAGTCTAACAGCCGAATCAGGAACATATTTTGATAAAGTTTATAAAGAGAAAATGTTTTTGAAGGTCATATTGACGATCTATTAACCTAACTAATATTTATGTTTGATACATTTGGTCTTTTTTAAGGGTTTTAGATTTACAATATAATTATAATTAATAAATATATTGATAAATATCACCCTATAACATTTTCTTTTGTCCTTCAATGATAACATGCTGCATAATCGATTAAAGAATTCTATAAATATCATACACAGGTAAAAACTGCTCAGAATACTTCAATCCTCAGGAAAAGATCATATCAAATCTGCTCTCCGACATGACGACCTCGAACGAGACCTGCAACTACGAAATAATTGCTCCTGTCGGACAGCATGTAGAAATTTTATTCGATGTTAACTTTCGCAATCAAAGGCGATGCTCACCAATGTCAACAGCAGATTATGGAATATTCATATCATACACCCACACTGACCAGACGAGGTATTATGACGTCATTTGTGATAAGAAGTCGGCTTACCTGGTCCGGTCCGTCGGAAGAAGGCTCTATCTGAAGTTTATTATAAACCACGTACCATTTACGTATCATGGAATTTATCGTTTTGGTAATTAAAATTATTTACTTTTTTTAAATAATGCACAATGATTTTGTTGTATAATAGAAGTATTTTAGTATATTTATATAATTTTTGTTATATAGAATTAAAGATTTATAATATAATAAACAGAAACTTTGAATGAATTCAAATAATGCAGTTACAAGTAATGATTTAATTCATATTTATAACACAACACATTGAAACTTCATCGTCTTTATTTCCCTTTCTATTGATGCTTTCTATGTTTGCAATGTGACGTCATAACTTATTTACCAATCAAATTTGACCTCGTCTTTACAGTTCCATCAACAAACTGCATCATGTTCCAGTGCCTAAATGGAGGGACATGCATTGTAACTAATGGCCAGCGGTTCTGCATCTGTTCTCCCGGTTTTTCCGGATTTACATGTTCTGAATGTGCAAATTTCAGATGTTACAATGGTGGTTCATGTATCATGTCGAAGAACAACAAACCGCATTGTGTATGTGGGATTAATTTCGAAGGAAGATTTTGTGAGAGAAACAGAAATCCCTGTCTCTCCAATCCATGTCTTTTCGGACGTTGTGAAATAATTACTTCAAGTGATACATCGATTTCATCGAAAACAGACGGGAATGAATATAGCTTACCTACAGGGTACAATAATTTAACTAATGTAACATCCAAACATATTATCTATGATCAGTTAAATGATATTTTACAAGAAGAGAGTCATGACAGTTTTCAATGTACATGTTACTCTGGTTACAGTGGTGTTCGATGTGATCAAATTACAGAAAAATGTGACTCTCATTCATGTCTTGTCCATAAGGAATGTACTTAAGAAGTGGATAAACTCGATTGCAATTGTGGTGAGTGTGTTTTTGGGCTGTGCGTTCTTGTAAATGATAGCAGAAACTGCCGTTGTTTTCCTGGATTTTCAGGAGACAACTGTTCGCAAAATATCAACGAATGCGATCAAACCCCTTGTGTCCATGGGGACTGTGTCGATTTCGTAAATAGATATGTTTGTTCATGCAATGAAAATTACACAGGTAAAACCTGCAATGTCACTTTGAGAGAAAACATTGATCACTTGAACTCAACAGATGATTGTAGCACAAACACTTGTATAAATGGAATTTGTGCAGAACAAGAGTCATTTACAGCTTGTCATTGTTACACAGGATTTACAGGTAAAAGATGTGAAATTCCAATATCTTTCCTGGTATCCACAAACGACACATTCCCATCAAGGCAACACAGATGTTTCAAAAAGGGAGACATTGTTGAAATTTGCCAATGCATTTCCAAAGCCTGTACGGGTAATCAAACAGGATTTCAGAATACAACAGTTTGTAACACTCTGCATTTACTCTCTTTACTGAACGAGTTCTGCTCAGAAGGCAATTTTTCAACCGTATGTGTTTCTTATTTTGACACGAGTATTGTGTCAATCTTGCGTCTTCTTTGTGTTCATAAACAAATAAGCATTCCAAAAACGCCTAACAAAAACAATTTAACAGAACTTTTTCCATTTCGAGAGAAAGGATTTGCACAGTCTTCATATTTACTTCGATGTACATTATCAAGCAGTCTAGAAATGACAGATGTTGTATTGCGTCCTGAAGCAACATCTTTGGAGTTCGTCCATCAAGTTTATGTATTCTCAGAATGTTACATAAATATAACTGACCATTTTGAAGTTTCAGATTGTTCGATTAAAACAATTTCATTTCATTTCAACATGACATGGGTTTCTAATTATTTTAAATATGTAAATATTGAAATGACTGTGATTGAAAAGTTAGAGAGAACGGGAACTGGCACCTCATTAGCACAGGCAGGATATTTTATCAAGCAAACTTTTAATATATCAGTGGAAACTTTGTTTATGTCGTTTGGCAATAAAACTCAGTTTTTGGAGACAAACACGTTGGGACAGGTCACATATACGTGTAAGCATATATGCGGTGAAAGTGTTTGCAAGAAGAAAACTTGTGAATTGGACAAGATGACTCCGGAATATCAAATGATAGAAAATGATAATAATGGAAATCATAGTAGCCTCTGTACATGTCCAATGAACGAAACAGGTGACCTGTGCCACAACACGAAGGGTATAAATATATCTTTGTCGTTAAACTTATCATCACCTAAGATTTCTTCACCATATATTGTGCATGATCAAATTCAGAACTGAAAAAATATAAAGTATAAATTATTTAATCAATTTATACTTTTTTACAGACAATGGTGGAAAAAAGACACATAAAGAGATGTCCTACACATTTGTTTATTTAATTATATCTTTTACAATTATGTTGATCGTTTTGATACCTGGATCCGCCTGCATATGCATAAAACAGTCAAGAAAAAGGTATTCTGAAATGTCTAGACATTTTTAAGTCGCTCACAAGGCAGAGCATTTGCTCTGGAGTCTAGGAGTAAAGAATTCATCTTTCGAATGCCATATGCATTAAGTGACACAGAGTATGCGACACTATTGAGACTGTATAAACCGAGTAACCTTGATGCAGTAGGTGCTGGCACAAAAGATCCTTGATTTTTCAAAGGCCTTTAATCCAGAGTACAGGTTGAAATTTGCAGTCCTCCACCAGCAAATGGTGGACTCTACATGAGTGAAAAATTCTCGAATGGCAATAAAAAAAAATTGTGTTTATTTTTTTTTTACAAAGTGAAATAAGTTTTCTGACCAGTTTTTTTTATACAAGTTTAATTTTTATGAAGCAGAATCTATTGCAAAAAATCTCTCAAGAGAGGAAGAAAGCTTTTGATGTGGTCTTTTATTCTACACTAAACTATATGATGACATTTTGTCAACTAACTAATATTTTGTTATGTAATTTCCACTCGATATATCCTAGCTGCAATAATGTAGCCCTCTCCCTTTTTTTGAAAAATACAACTCCTTAGGATCTCCGTAAGGGAAATTCCCGCACGAAAAAAGTAAATGGCTATTTTATTAACATTTCCTTTTTTTACAAAAATATTGAAATATATCGCTTATTTTTCGTGTATGTCAACATCACCTGTATTTATGCCATGTTTAAGTATAATTTTTATGAAGTTCCCTTATTTTAAGCATAAATTTGCTTGCATAAAAAAAACACTTAAAATGTTTTTATTTACATGTTTTTGAGGATACAAAAGCACAATCATTTATAATGACATTTGCTTTATTCAGTTGTTCTAAATTTCAAGCGAAAGTCACGTCACGCGTGAACTGTCATGGCTGATGAAATTTTGTTGACAGTGAATAAAAATTTCGTCTTATTGGAAGTAAGTTGAATGTAAAAATAATTTATTTTGCCTGCAGTCTCTCCTATTTTAAAAAAAATATTTGCACCATTACGTAGATGCGATGGAATTGTAGCCCTCTCCCGAAAACATCAGATTAAAAAAAAAATCGGAGAGGGCTACATTATTGCAGCTAGATATATCCCAGTAAGCTCTAGAAAAAAGACATCTAGAAGTTCACCACATTTGTTCTATATTTAAATGTTTGCTGACTATAGCCGATAAAGGCTGAATAACAAATGAGATGCTTTCAACTTTTTCATCATCAACATTTATTATTTTTGTAATGATATTTCCTAATCATTTGTTCATGACTCCCAGTTTATTTGAAATGCAAGACTATTGAATGCGTCCTATTACTGAGTATATACGTATTTAATAGAGAGAAATCCCGAAAATTCTGGAGTGTGTACTGCACATGCAAGTCATCGTATCTAAGTATTAAATTTACTTTCCTGTAGTTTCTTTTTTGCTTTGTAAAAGTTAGTGAATAGCCTTAAATAACTGAAATAATCCCCTGCAATGCCTAAACAAACCGGTTCGCGTCAAATTTTCAAACCGGCTGTTTTTTCCCATTATTTTCAGAGGTAAGGCAGAATTTCCGGAACTGTTGTACAGTCCTTCAGCCCTCGATACTAAAGTTCTTTCAAAAGGTACAAGAGAAAGAAGTTCAGACGATGTAGAACAGACGCTACCAAAGCTCATGACGTCACGAGATATTTTCATGGAAAACAAGAAAAAGTTGGTATTGCATCATCTTAATTTGATAACAGAGAGGTGTTTTCATATTCATTTGGTCTTGATTGGAAAGTAATTTATAATTATATGACTTTTGTTTTATAAAATAGTGAACTTATTAAATTTATGATTTGCTAAGCTACGATAAATCGAATTAGCACATTGGAGATCATATAAAATGCAGGATAAACCTCTGATTGGTGAATTGACCCAACAGATAAGTACTTTTCATTGAACCTGTCTGTTAACTTAAATATACGTAATTTAAAAAAAAATTAAGCATACACTGTAACGTTCTTCTTGATGACATTTATCTTAATCTTTTCAAATTACACAGGTAAAATTTAAAAGAATAGCAAGTTATTAAGTTTAATATGTGGTGTTTTTTTAGTAGGTATAAACTGTCAGGAATTAATTTGCTAAAAATATTGCTCTTGTTACTTTTAGACTTTTCCTGGTGGACGGTGCAGAAACAGGCAAAAGCGAAGCATGACAAAATCGTATAATTGTTATTAAAACAAGCACAGAAAAAAAAGATTTTTTTTTCAAAACAGTTTTGATGGTTCTTCTAGGAAAGAGTTCAGTGCGTCATAGACGGATGGATACAGATACCTTTCCTATAAATTGCCAGTATAATACAACGATGACTATCTAGACTGTGCACATTAGCTCTGTACTAAAAGAAAAGTTTTACTCTAAATTATTAAATACATGTACAGTTGCAGGAAATAAAATGTCTATTTCCATGTCTTTTTGTGGAGTCTTAATGTTCATCAATAAGTTCAAAGATTTATTTCTTCAGTTATTTCCCTTCCTTCCGCCCTCTTTAACCTTTCTTCTCCCACACTTTGAGACTTGGACTAATAACTTTTTAAGCAATTAAATTTTCTTCTTTCACCAGCAGATTTGATATCTAAATTTTTTAATAATATCCACGTAATCAATTGTAACTAATTTGGCGAAACAGACATTTCAGAGAAACGGAATCATGTTTTCAACATCAATACTTGTTAGATAAATAGCACTTTTTATATCAAAAAAGGAGACAACTTAAAGGTTTTCATGAATTTCTCTGGAGCTGCATTATCTCAAGCAATGCGAGAGCATTTTAATTATTGACATTTTTGTCGAGCATTTTTTTTTCAGGTTTAAACTTGCTGCTTTGCTATAACAGTTATTCAGAAGATGATGTACTCTTCCTTTCTCTCTTTCATTATTTCATAAGAAAGAAAGTAAATTTTAACTATGTAACTTCTTCAAACAAATGATTATTTGCAATTGGAATCGAACTAGAAATAAATCAATATAAATTTCCTACTTCTAAGTGAATAAACAATTTGTAGTCTATATATAGATACCACCTCCTGTGTCCTGATTTAAGATTAAAGTTTTATTTCAATATTTGTTTTGCTATATTTAGTATCCTTTCCGTTAAATAAGAACACTGGAGTTGATCTATTTGATCAATTCATTCCTGTTTAAATATATGTATTATCAAATACTTTTAACAGAAAGCTAAAATTTAATTGCTCTTTGGAAAAATTGTATGCAATTTCTCTTAGCTTTTTATATGGAAGTTTTGCAATATGATTAAAGGTGTTAAAACTGTGAATTGTTGCAATGTGGAGGTTATCCTTACTGTTATAAATTTACAAATCCAAATTTGAAGGTCGAGCTTTTGCCCCCTTATTCTTTTTTCCGACCTAATTATTTTATTTTCTCATATATTTATGTCATGTCTTAACATGAGTTTTTAACCAAAGCTCACTCATTATTTTTGGTATGGTGAATAAATATGTTGTTTATTGTTGGCACATTTACCCAAATAATTAATATAAACCGGTCAAAATGGTTTCAAACATATCTTGCAGTCTTGTTAAGGCAATTATACATGTATATTTGTTTCTTTTAACCAATTTGTGCATTATATCTTACACTTTAATATACATGTATTGAAAAGAACGGTTAAATTAGGTATATTATACAAAGTATTTAAAAATATTTCAACAAAGAGCAATTAATTGCTCTGTAGTTTATCATCTTTAAGTAACATATTTTAGTTTTTTTACTGTTGTATTCATAAAACTGGGTAAAACCAAATTTATTCAAATCAAACATATTTTTCAAAATGTGTCATTTGCCACTCAGAAATGTTTAAAATTAAAAAGCATTATGAAGAAAATGAGGAAAGAATGCTATTTAGTACAAATAAATGTTTTCTTTATTCAAGAAAATCTTTATATTTGCTTTAACATGTACAGAAAATTTTGAGGAGAAATATATCAAAGTGATTTAAATACAATGTATCTTATCTTTTCCAAATTCAAATAGAGTTTGTCAGTGAACTTGTTGTTTTGTAATGTAAAACTTTCCAAATATTGACAAATTCCAAAGGTTAGAAACATTTCCATACGCAAAGTTAGTGAACAAGAGCCCTTGCCTGTTTATTAATTAAACCTTTACGTCCATTTATTTAAACTTGTGTACTTTTGAAATATTAAAAGTTGATCTTCAAATATTGTAACGACCTGTCCGTCAACTTTGGTCAATGACTGTTAAAATATAAAGTTTAAAAGTACCGAGCTACCTGCCTCTTTAAAAAAAATACATGAATTAATCTTCCAACGAAGAGCAAATATCACTCCCATTCATCTTTTAAGCAAATACTGTTATCAAAGAAAACACTTCATAAAGCGTTATTTTACTTCCAAGCAATTAGATATCATGCATCGTCCATATTTCATGAAACAAAGTACTGATCAATTACATTGGAATACCCGGCATTTGGACGGTTAATATTGTCATATATGCGATGTTTAGGAGAATATAAATAATGATATGAATCTGGTTGTAACACACTTTTTGACTGGCTAAGAAATTAGTCTATATTGTATAACCCGTTTTGCCTGCGTCATAATAACTTGCGTCAAAAATGTGTCAATCAGCTTGGCATTACATTTAAATTTTGTACAATTTATTGTGTTGTTTGATGAGAATTTGTCCTTTTTTAAACCAAGTTAGAGTTTACGCTTTTTAATAAATTGCTTCCATTACATGGGTTTTTGCCTTTATAAGAAATTTCACCTTGAAATGGAAGTAAAATAAGATATTTGTACTGAATTGGTCTGCTGGGAAAATATACATTTTATGAAGCACATAAAAACATTAAAACGATCATACATGTTTGTAAATTGTACAATTTTGCTAATTCAGCGCACCAGTAAATGAAGTCAGTCTTGGCACTCTTGGCCAAATTCCTGTCCTTTGTTGATAGGCAATTTTCAAGGTCTTAATAAAATGATTTTAATTTGACTTTTGGATAAATCTAAAATTAATTGTTTTGTTTTAATCATTGGTGGAAACAAAAGTTTGGTGATACACTTCAACTGAGCTAACCAATAATAGAAAATTATTTCCAAACAGAATTAAGACAATGATAAAATTTTCCAAATAAATCAATTCAATGTTTAGTTTTTTTATTGAAAGATAATTTGTCATTGTATGCTGTCAGTTGAAATTCTTTTTTAAAGTGTATTCATTAAAATATAAATTGATACTTTTCAGTCATTCATGGAGCACATTAGTTTATTAGTTTTCATTGAAAAACAAAATAAAATTGTATCAATATTTTAACGTTTCAAAAACAATGCAATTGTATTTATGGCATTCTGACTTCAGTTTCTACTCTTAAAAAATAGAACAGACAATGGTGATGTTAAATATTTCTCTTTCTTCTAGAATACATTCATAAAAATGAAATATGTAGTCTTGATTACATATAGTTATGGCTGCAATTAAGAATGAATGCATGATCATAATGTGTTCATTAAGTATTACAGGTAATGTTATCATTCCAAAAGCAGACTTTTCTTATGTCACCTTTCATTGTTTAACAGCCTATATTTTTAAAAGACTCTATATTTATTTCTTCCTCTTTGTCTGGAACAACAATCTAAATGACGAATTATATTTGGCAGAAGACGATCACACTTAAATTTTGGCCTTAGGTCCATTAAACTTTTGATTTCAGTCTTCTCTCTTCTACAACAAAAGGAAACTGAAATTAAAAAAAATAGAGCTTCCTTTAAATCTACTACTGCACTGCTGATGACAGAATTCAGGTATGTATAGGCATGGGATTGATTATTTGTCTCTTACAAGTATACAGTGGTAAGGTTTACAACGGAAGATCTTACGCGAAAAATAAAATATTCAAGACTGAAATGTGAATTTGAAGAACTGGATTTGAAAAAGTGAACGAAAATAAATTGGATTTTCAGACCAAAAAAAAAATGAAACCAAGGTTCTCTTACATAAATTCAGTAGGAATGATTAGGGGAAAAAATGACGGTATTGTTAAAAAACCTCTATTCTGAAACCAAAGCATATTCATTGTGTAATCTTTCTATTCGTTCAACACTTAGTTAAAACGGAAGGATAAATACCCGCCCCGGTAGTTTGATGATGCATTTAATCAAAAATTCTAATTTTTGTGGAAAAAAATAGAATAGTGAGAAAATTGAAATGTTTATGACTTTGACAATTTCTTTAAACTCATGTTCAGACATTCTTTAACTGAGTGAACTCTTTGTTACCCAATATAAATCAGTCCGCGTAGAGTACGTTCAATTCCATAGTAAACGTGTTTGAAGTTTAAAAAGTGAAACTTTCTCCAGCTTTAGTATAAAAACTTTTATCTATTAAGATTAAAATAAACAAAACATAATTTTCAAAATATCGAAAGTTTTGCAACTTTTAGTACAGTGTATGAAAATGGAACACATTGAGTCCAAAAGGATAATGTTTAAAATATTCCTGATTGAATGTTCTTTTGTTCGTCGAATTTTCACGTTTTCAGGCCGAAGTTTATGCATTGATAAGATGATCATCGTTTGATTCTTAGCAGCCTTTGCATACACGAGTAATTTATATTCTTGTCTGTCAGATTAATAAAAATACACGAACAACAAGATGCATGTATCTAAATATTGTATAAATTTTAAGCAGCATAGATAACTTTGAACCATCTGAAGTACTGCCGCGTCGAAGACTTTGAAAACTAGATAAATTATGGAGATAACAAACAGTGTTTAAACTCAAAAGTTCATTACAATACAAATATGGAGCAGAGCAAACACAGACCTAAAAAAAACATCAAAGTTCGAATCAGGTGCCACAGAGGAATAGACATCCCCTTCCGTCACATCCGCCATGTGTTCCTTCTTATGAGAGGACAAACGGAAAAATCCGTTGATAATTCAGTGTGTAAATAGTGGTCTGTAAACACCGTATGCAAATGATAATGGGATATTACTACATATTAAGGAAAGTTGACGAAGGAAAAGTTGAATTCTTCTAGTTTGTCAAACAATTTAGTTCTTTGTTGGCTCTTATCATCTATTATTAGTTAAATGTCCAAATACTGGTATGAAACATATGTGGTAGACACTGCGGTGTCTTTTGATTATTTCAAGTTCATCTGGATCTGTTGAATTGAAATATA